GCCACGAGGTCCGCCGGCTCAACGCCCGCGTCGCCCACGCCCGCCCCCTCACCCTCATCCGCAATTGCGGGGTGCTACGCGTATTCACAGGCGGCGCAGCGGGGCCCGCAGCAGGTCTGACCGACGGGCTGGGCTCGCCCAAGATCGGCGCACCCTGGGGCGCCGGATATGACCGCGAGGGCGCCGCGCGGGGCCCCGGGCGTTCCTGCCTCTCGGCGAGCGGCCCCGGGTGGGCGAAATCATCGCGGCGCAGACAGGAAGGGCCGAGGCGCCGGCGGCGCGCGGGCCTAGTTGGCCGGGGGCCAGGCTTCATCTTGAGCCCTATAGGGTCGCAGCGGCCCCTCCCTGACGACCGACGGACCGGGGGGGCGCAGCGGTGAGGGAGCTTTCCCTTGGCCAGAAGAAGCATATTTAGTTGTTGCCTATGGCGCGCGCGCATGGCCAACGCAGCCCCCGCGCCCGCCGACGATCCGCGGGGGGGGGTCGCGGAGCGAGGCGGCGGGGCGGGGCGGGAGGGGCGGGGCGCGGAAACAGGCGGGGGAATGAGAAGACTGGACAAGGGGAAGAACAGACCGCGACGCGACGAATTACATTTTTTTCACGGAACGCGCGGGGCGCGGCCTCGGACAGCGTCGCAGCGACTGGCCCAGGGAACGCGCCTGCTCGAAACGCAGGCGCGCGGCCAAAAAGTGAGCGCGAGCGCCGGGGGCGGCCTGGCGGCGTCTGCGCCAGGCAGGCGCGCGAACTATATCTATATATATATATATATATATATATATATATATATATATATATATATATATATATCGCGCGCCCCGGACAATGGCGCTTTGGAAACCGAAACACGTCGTGGTCGACCGTTGCGTGCCAAACGGACATTCCATTGTCTGGCGGCGGGCGCCGGATCGCGCTGGCCAGCGGTCGCGGGGGCAGTCCGCCGCCCAGCGCCCGGCGCCCGTGGCCCGGCCTGCCCCCTTGCACTTCGGGCAGGCAAGCGCGCAAGGGTTCCCGAGTGACCTGCGCGTCGAGATATTATGCCTCGCCGCCCCACGGTTCGAGCGCAAGCAATTACGGCGCACCTCTGACATGAGGGTCTCGAACGTTCCCGGTTGGCCTTGCTTTTGTCCGCCAGCCAGAAGTCGACCTTGGAGACGCTCGGGTGACTGGCAAAACGCGCAGCTCGAAAAACAAAGCGTCAGCGTCATTCTGTTTGGCGGCTCTCTTGGAGGTCCCTGCAGCGGCAGGGGCGCCGATCTCTCCCGCTCGACGGCGCCCGGGGCGCGGCTGGACCTCGCGCCCCTGGGCGCGCGTCTGCGAACGCCCAAGCGCTTGCCCCGAGGGGCCGGCGCCGGCGCTGCCCGGGGGGCCAGTCGCCGCTCTCTTCGCCACGGCCACGGACCCCAGAATCAGATCGATCCCGAAATCACGGAGCAGCAGCTCACTGTCGAGCGCTAACGCGGCAGGTGGCTTGATGCATCGCCGCTTGAAGCTCTCGATGCATTCGTAAACGCATGGCATTAAAAACAGCTTCTGGGCAGAGTGCTTTGCCTGTGCTGTTTCTTCTTGCTCGAAAGAACAGTCGCGCGCTTCGCGATCAAATGGTGCAGCGCCAGAATGGCGCGGGCCAGGGCGCGAACCGCCGGGTCGCCGCGCTCCGCGCGCTCGCGCACTTGCAACAGGTCGGGCCCCCCGCCCAGCTCTGGGTAGCACAGCTGCTTCCAGGCGGTTTCGGCTGGGTGGCGCATGGCTGCGTGGGTCTCAAGCGCGGACAGTTCCGAATTAGACAAATGAGCGGCGCGCAGAAAGTAGAAAGTAGCCATGGGATCACTTGCGTCAGCGAGGGAATCCGCGACTGAATCCTCGACCTGGTCTCTCGAGCGCGAAAGATACCCGTACCCTTACCTAGACAGGGTGGCAAGGGGCCGGGGGGGCGGTTCGTCGCAGCTGACGGCGGCTGCACAAATGTAGAAACGACAGCCGATCGAGCATCACAGACCGTTGTCTTCTCGGGGCGCACGTTAGCACCGATCGCACGTGCGTTCGAATCGGCGGAGTGCCCGACCCTGCGTCGGTTGTTGTCGATGTAGACCAGCTACTGCGGAGGCGCGCCCCCGGACACACATCCGGGCGTTGAGGAGTCAACGCGCACTCGGGGGCGCATGCGAACAACTCTGGCGCGAACGTCATTGCGCGACGACAACCGCCTTATCGCGAATTGCTCGATGACGAGACATCGCGAATCTGTGCCCTGGGCGAGGTCGCCAGAGGCCGCCCCCTTTGGACGGCCGTCTGCGGATCACCCCAGCTAGGTACGGTTGCCCAATGAAAGCCCTAAAAACATACCCGCACCTAGGTGGGGTGCCGCAGCTCACCCCAGCTAGGTCCGGGTATGTTTCGGTGGTTTCAGGCAGGTCCCCGCACCTAGCCGAGGTGGCGGCAGGCCCAAAACGCTCTCGAGCACATATCATGCCCTCCAGAGCCGCCCCCGACGTGGCCGCTGCGGCCCCCCTGGGGGCGCGACGTTGCAACGTCGTTCATCAGGGCAGTTCCAGACGCATTGGCTGCCAGGATAGCGAGGACATGCAACTCGTTATCGATTGGGAAAGGCGCCGCCACATATGGGCGGCTTTGAACCGCGCACGCACCACGATGCCCCGAGACGCCCACGCTTGTCGCTGCAATCAGACACCCAACCATCGAGCGCGCCGTTGCGTCTTGACGCGCGGATGCTGCACTGGCGCGCGCGGGGCAAGCTGACCGGGCACAATGGCAACCGCCCAGTCCTCCGGACGGCCCACCTCACATTGGCTGGCCCCGGGCACGGGTATCTTTCGGACCAACGATGGTCTGCGTCGACCATGATCTCGAACCACGCCCTCCGGATCAGGTCGGGGTTGAGCTCGCGCGAACGGGAACTCCGAGACCGCCTTAGCCTGGAACTCTGGGATCCCGGCTGCCTCCGCGAGGCCTTCTCCGACCGCGCGCTGGGCCGCAGGGCTGGCCCCGTCGAGCCCGACCTCCTTGGCGACGCCGGCGAGCGCCGCAGTGTAGGCGACACCCTGAGGGGCGCAGGCTGCCGCAATCGGCTCGTCGACGAGGGCATCGACGCGCTCCTCAGACGCCATGCCCCCGACAGCGTCAGCGCTCGGTCGGCGCGCCCGCTGGTGGACCTACTGAGCCGCACATAAATATATACATATATATATATATAGATAAGAAAGCATCGGGACGCCGGCCGCAGATGGAAAGGCAGGAGCGCGAGGGGGCGCGGCAGAGGGGCCGGGGGCCCGGGGAAAGAGACGAGCACGCCTCGCATAAGGAGTAAGTTATTTTTTACTTGGAGAAGCGCGCATGAACACAGTCAGTTCTGTCAGCGCTTGCGCTTCCGGCGGTTCGGAAGCCAACCCTGCGGCGCGATGCGCGGCAGATCGGACGCTGGGCTCTTCGGGAAGCCCCGATCTGAAGGCCACCGGAAAAGGTCGGACCCGGCATGCCACATTCTGATCCTGTGCCACCTGGAGAGCACCGGCGCGCGGAACCACGGGGCCCCTGGGCTGTCGAGGCACAGGATTGCGACGCGCAGGGCTGCGTCATCAGCAACAACAGCGGAGGTTAAACATTGAAAAGTCGCTCTTAGCAGTGCTCGTGGCGGGTGTGCCCACACCACGTGGCCGTGTAGTCTGGCCTCAAAAACAGAGGCACTGGAAAACGCCACTCGGGGACGAGCGCTGCGACGCCGAGCCTATCGGCGAACGTGTCCAGCGTGAACTGAACGCCGCATCTCGCTTCGATCTCTTGGAACAAGACCTTGCGCACCGCGGCGTCCCTGCACCGATCCTCGCGCCAGGAACGCGCGAAATTCAAGGACCGAGAACCCGCGTCAACAATGACGTTGCTCCTGCCAGGTATATGCAAAGCCACCGCCCAGCATTGCGGAGCCCGTCCGGCATTCTCGAAACGATGTGCCCGAGATTCGAGGGAAGGTATCCGCCCATACCGTACATTGACGTACTGCACGGCTGCGGAATTGTCGAGTCTGAGCAATACTCGCCAACCTTTCAAGCAGGCAGACTCCCTGCGGAGGCATTGGACCGCAACCCACAGTTCCTTGTAGCTGATTTCCACGGAGTTGGGCTGCGCCCCCCGAGCTTCGAAATTGCAGGGCCACGTATCAGAGACGACGCGGCTGTCCCAGCACCCATGGTACGACCACCCGTGCATCTTGGAAGCGCTGCGCTCCACGACCCTGATTGCGCCCTTTCGAGCAAGATTCGCCCAGTCAGCGAACTCGGGCGATTTGTGACCCCACATGCTGAGAGGGCCACCGCCGTAGTGCAAGGAACGCACTGGGGGTGTGCATAAGGACGAGCAGACGTGCGCCAGGGCCGCGCGACTGAGCTCGGAGAGAGCCACCGGGGGGTCGGCGAGAGGGCTGGATCGCCATGCCGAATACACCCCCGACGAATGAAAATCGGCCCACAGAGGGAGTAGCCGGCGACGCAACTGCAGAAGGAGCTCCGCGATGTGCGAGGCCAAACCTACTGCCGATGCTAACTGTTTGCTGTGGAGCGTGCGGTGCTGCCTCGAGAACGGCAGCGCGCAACTCGCGACAGCGGTCCGCCTTCTCAGGTGCGACGGTGATACTGCACTCGACAGTGTCGAAAACCCAACCGGTCCAAGTTTGTCGTCGCGCTGGGCCTCGGATGCCTCCGGGTTTGGCGCTGACGTGGATAACGCACCGCAACAGAAAACGAACCGCTCGGCACAGGTCCCGCCAAGCCGTGCCCTCGTCGGCCGCTGCGCCTAGAAAGTCGTCTACGAAGTCTACAAGATCCACTTCGGTACTTAATCTGGGGATTATTTAAATATCCTTCACGTTTGTATCGTTGATACCAAGCGCAGGCTCGAGGCCGAAGGGTAAATAGTTGTATTTCCCGCATTTGCGTCTGCCAGAGGAATAAATGCCTAGAGAATACGAGTCGGCGTCGGAGACACGCCAATCAGCAGTCGTGCAGGTCGAGCACGAAAAGCCAGGAACCCGCGGACGTACGGGCCACGGCCTGGTCCAGCGTGCCGCACGCGACCTCGGCGTCCGGCATGCACTCGTTGACTCCCCCCCGCCGCAAATCGACGATTCAACGTGCTTTGAAGCGCTCAGTTTCGTCGGCTTCGGCGTCCGCCCCAGGACGCGGCCTCAGGATCAAGCAGCACGGGTTGAAGTTGAGGTGTTTGGGCGGCGGGGTATCAACGCTAGACCCCGACCCTCGGAACGGGGCGCCTGCGCGCGAGCCGAAGCCAGCAAAACGCACGACGAATGACCGAGCGAGACGAGCACAGCCCAGCGACCCCGCAGAAGCCCCTAGCCCGAAGGCGCAGCCCCCCTGGAAAGGATGCCTCCTCCTCCTCCTCCTCCTCCTCCTCCTCCTCCTCCTCCTCCTCCTCCCCCTCCTCCTTCTCCTCTTCGTCCTCCTCCTCCTCGCCCTCCTTCTCCCTACCCCATCCAACTTATGGTGGTGGTGGTGGTGGTGGTGGTGGTGGTGGTGGTGGTGGTGGTGGTGGTGGTGGTGGTGGTGGTGGTGGTGGTGGTGGTGGTGGTGGTGGTGGCAAACAGGCTCATCATTTCTGTCTCCCTCTTTGTTTTGCTCTGCCGCGCCCCGTGGCGCAACGCCTGGAAGCCGCTCGACCCGGGGGGCGCCGGCAGCAGCGGGCGCAGCCCTGACGGATATCCCGAACTGGCCCCGGAATTCGCTGTAGAAGCTCGGCTGGGCCCAACCATCACGCTCAAGCCTTCGGTGGCAACCCATGGGAGCCTCACACACCAGCTTGTCGGCTCTTGCGAATCGGCGCTCGCCGCCGCAAAATCGACGCCAATCGACGCTAGCGCCGAGGCTGAAGCGGCGCTACCTCGTCGACTCCCAGACGCGAATCGACGCCAATCGACTCTCGAGGCAGAATCACGAGGGCACACAAGGCGGCCATGATTTGCCACCGAACAAGCCTGCTTATCTCTTCTCGCAGTGCCTTGCGGGCCTTCTGGTGAACTCTGCCCGTGCGCGCCTCGAGCTCGGCCTCCAGCCACTCTCGCATGCTGATCTCGGCGGGCCCGAGCGAGACCTCACTGGAGGAGCTGCTCGAGGCAGAACCCGCCTTCTCGACGTCAGCGCTTTGGCACCTGCCATCTGCAGTCAACCCGTATAGTAAGGATGCGCGATAAGGATGCAAGGCCCTTGGAAGCCCATTTCGAAATTATCGAGGGGGGCGCGGCCAACGAAAGTGGCCAAGGATGCACCGAGGAGGCAAGGATGCAAGGGTACCCTTTGGAAGGTTGCCCGTCCCTACTATGCGAGTTGACTGTAATCCCACCTGCCTGGCAGAGGGAGAGCCAGCACAACGAACTCTGCTCCTGCAGTCCGACTCTGAGCAGACACGATACGCCTCGGCATCGTCGATCCACTCGACGAGGTTCGCCTGCTGCCACCGGTGCACCAGTCGCAGCCACGAGTCTCGACGAGGACAGCACTCCAGTAAAACACAGCCACTGCGGGCACGGGTAATCCCCGTGTAGAGGAGCTTGAGCTCATGAATCGCTGACGTGAGGGCGTAAAAAGCAGCATTAAGCTGTAGAAATGCACCTTGGCCTGGACCATCGTCTGCCGCAAATGCAGCCAACTGAGACTCCTCCGAATCGTCGTCGGCGAGCGCACCCAACATGTCGCTATTCAGAGAACTGCTGAAAAGTCCACAGATGACAACAAGATCAAACTCGAGTCCCTTGGCCTCAGGAATCGTAAGAATTGTGCCCTCCACGCCCTCCCTATGGAGCTGTTCCCTCATTTCGTTGCTACGGACCAAGATAGTGGCGGCTTGCATGTCAAGCGCAACCTGCCTCCTCATGCCTGTTCCATTTAACGCATCTCCATAATCCGCCAACCCTTCGTAGAGGAGGACTCTGCTATGTAGAATTCACTCTCTTCTGTGCGTTTGAGGCCCGAGAGATCATGGAAACTCCCGCCCACACTCCGCCTCAGCGGCATTCGAGACGGCGCCGAAACTGCCCCAGGATGCAGGACAAGAGGTCTCGAAGCGCACCCAAGATGACTTCAGGACGTCCCCAAGACGTCTCCGCCCCACCCACGACCATCCCAGGACCGCCCCAGGAGACGCTCGAAGAGCGTCCCAAGATACCTCCCCCGGACGCCTCGAACCCGCAGAATCCCACCAGCCCTCTGGGCGCAGATTGTCTAACGCGCTTCCCCTTTGAACCCCCGTCTTCCCCTTCGGGAGGAACCCCTCCCCCTACCCCCTTTTCCCATTCGAGCGTCCAAGATGTCTCCATGATGGCTCCGGATAGTCGAAGGATTGCCCTGCCATCGCTCGGACGTCCATTCCCCGTGCATTTTTCGGTTTCGTGCGTTGTTGTTTTCGCAAAATGGCCCGGTATGCTCCTCGATGGCCCTCGCCGAGAAAAAATGCACACGTCCGAGCGATGCCAGGTCCCCTACCCCCTTTCCCATTAGAGCATCCAAAATGTCCCCACGATGGCTTCAGACAGCCGAAAGAATGCACGAGAGAGCTCAGGACTTCTCATCATAGCATCCGGCATGCCTCCGTGAGGCACCACGGCCACCCCAAGAGTGCAAGTGGGCACGGAGCCTACCACTCGTTCCAAAACGAATTTGCCAATGGACAACCAATGGCTTGTGGTTTCACGCCTTCCCGCTTCCGATAGCTCCAAAATCTCTCAAGAGATCCTCGAGAGAAGCCCAAGAGGGCCAGAAACAAAAGAGGGCTCGGGGACGGCCCCCAGAGCGAACTACGGGCGCCTCCAGACAGCCCAAGAAGATGGCTATTCCGGGCGGCCGGAGGCGGAAAGGCTCCTCGGCGCAGCCCCTTTTCTGATCGATGCCCTCCAAGCTGGCCCCCAGAGAGCCCCCGATGCCCCCGAGAAGGCCCCAGCAAGGGACCCGAGAGGGCGCAAGAGAGCCCCCAAGGCATCCACAGCGGCCTCGAGCGGGCCCGACGGTGGCTCACGAAGGACTCCAAGAGGCTCCCAGAGCGAACGACCCGCGAAGGCAGCGACGGTTGACTGCTGTCGTCGTCGTCGTTGTCGTCGTCGCCCTCGTCGCGTCCTCTTCCTCCTCCCACCTCCTTCTCCTCCGCATCCCCAGCCCCCCTCCGCAGTCCTCCTCTGCCCTGTTCCCCTCCTCGCTCGACGGAGCGGGGAACCGGTGCCCCTCCATTCTAGGACAATCTGTTCGGTTTCGGGAGTTCGTTTCTGGGACCGCTCCCTCAAAAACCGAAAACAGGGACGGCTCCCACACTGGAGCCTCGTCCAGCTCTGCTGCCATGGCGCCGCAGTCCACGTATTGCCTGCTCGGGTGAACACCCAGACTGGGGGCCTGTCCACCCAGCCACCTTCGAGCCAGGACCGACCGTCCCGGCATTCTTATAGGCCTACCACGACATGTTCTTAGAACCCAAACATGTTCAAATAACGAAAACAATGTTCTTAGAACACAAACCCTATCTGTTAAAACACGACAGTCCCAACCAGAACATTTGGTTGAAACCACAAAAGGTTATTAGAACATTGTTTGGTAGGCCTATAGGCGAGCCAGGACGCTTCGCCACTGCTTGACACCTACCCCACAACACATCGCAACACAACGGTGGCGTCTTCACAAGAACTGAGTGATGCCCACCGAAACCTTCAGCGTTCGTTCCCGACGGCAAGCGGTCGCCGAATTGGTCGACAACTGCCGTTCCTGGATTCCAAAAACGGTTCAACCGTGTTCCATACAGCCACCTTCTTTCATGTTATGATATAGTGCGTCCTGTTCTGTTCTCGACAGGCTGGCGTGGCGTCGTGACGCTTGTGACGTTAGATGCGTTGTCTGCTATGACGTTTCTATTCACCTGCATGTTTCTCTTCGGGTCGAATAAACGATGGTATGATCATATATGTAACCATCTGATGTGAAATGGTATGGTATGAGATGCTGTGTGGCACCATGTTATGGCATGAATTGTGTATGCCAAAATCTGTTATAGCATGTTATGATCCGTGATGCTGTTGACATCTCGGCCCAATGTAAAATATGATCAACTGCCCTGCTAGTATGTTTCGCTATAACTTGCTGTCGTGTTACGATATGTTCTGCGATACTGTGATGCAATGACCTGCCTTGTTCTGCCATGGTGTGTATGTTATGCTCGGCTATGATATGTTGTGTTGTGCTATGTCGTCTTCTGCTCGGTCATGTTCTGCTATGGTATGTTGTGTGGTGTTATGTTTGCTGACGGCCCGGCCCTGTATAATATAGTATGACCTTCTCTTTTAGTACGTGCCGCTATGTTATGCCGTCGTGTTATGGCATGTGATATGATGCTGTGTCACGGTATGATATGTGATGCCAAGGTGTGGAATGTCATGCTCGACTATGTTATGGCATGTTGTGCTTAGTCGTCTTCTGCTCGATCATGTTCTGCTCTGGTATGTTATGTGATGTTCTGTGATGCCCGATTATGTCATGACATTGCTATGTTATGTTCTGTTATGTTCAGTCATGCTCGTGTTCTGTTCTGTCATGTTCTGTTGTCATATTGTGTTATGTCGTGTTATGTCGTGTTCTGTTCTGTCATGTTCTGATCTGGTACGTTATGCACTGTTCAGTTGTGCTTTATTTCGTCATGCTCTTGCTATGTTCTGCTCTGCAATGGTCTGTGATGCTCATGTTCGGTTCTATCATGTTATGTTGCGTCATGTTGTGTATTGTCGTGTTCGTCGTGGCTGCGAGCTGCTGTCGTGTTATGATATGTTCTGTGTTGCTGCACCATGATACGATATGTTCTGTCAAGGTGTGTTATGTATGCTCGGTTATGCTATGGTAAGTTGTGTTATGTCGTCTTCTGCTCCGTCATGTTATACCCTGGTATGTTATGTCATGTTATGTGATGCTCTACTTGGTCATGATATTGATGTGTCATGTTTTGTCAAGTTCTGTCATGCTTTGTTATGTTCTGTCATGTTCTGCTGTGTCATGTTGTGTTTTGTCGTGTTCGTCAAGGGTGCGAGGCGGGACAACCAATATTCTCGGGGATCATCGGGACAACTTGGAGTCTGGCGGCCGCGGTATGCAAGGGTGGGTTGGCCGAGCGCGCAGCGGGACAACCGGGACACGCGGAATTATCGGGACAACTTGGGGTCTGGCGGCCGCGGTGTGGGGTTGGCCGAGCGCAAAGCGGGACACCCGGGACACTTGGAATTATCGGGACAACTTGGGGTCTGGCGGCCGCGGTATGCGGGGCGGGGTTGGCCGGGCGCGAGGCGGGACACCCGGGATACTCGGGATTCTCGAGACAATTTGGGGTCTTGGGGCCGCGGTATACAGGGTGAGGTTTGGCGGGGCGGCCTGTTCTTGACATCTAACAACCCCAACCTGTCAGGCGGGGAACATGTTAACAAGCGTGGGTCCCAAACAGATTTATGTCACTGTATGTACTGCGTCCTACGTGGATCAATTTATGTGGTGCACTATGTGTAAAGCAGTCGCTGTGGCGCAATATGTGTCAACATATGTTGCGTCATGACATCCACATTGTGCCACTCACGGAACCCAGAACATGTAGTGAAATATCACTGGTGCAGTCTAGGTGGTGCCATATATATACATGTATATATATATGTACATATATGTGTATATATACACCAGTGTGTATATTTAGACGCGTGCGTATATATATATATATATATGTATATATACGTATATATATATATATATATATATATATATATATATATATATATATATATATACGCACGCGCGCGCAGCGGCCAGCTAGTTTGGCGCCACCGACGCAGCCGCGGTGGCGCTGACCCTTGGGCACATCCCAGCGGGCACTTCACTGCGAGTCGGCGACTTGGGCGGGCGCGGTACCATGGCAACGTCGACGACGGTAGACACGATGATCATAATAGCGATCGTGGTGACGAGGTTGGCACCGACAAAGGCGCGGCCAGGGCGGGCGTTGATGCTGATCACGCCGACGACGATGACGGCGTCCTCGCGTCGGTGATGAAGGATTTGGACACAATTCGAAATGCGCGCGCGGCCGACGCGCGGGAATGGCCCACATGGTTTTATTTGACACGGATCGCGCCCTCCAACACGCGCGCAAAGGCGCACGAATGGTGTCGGCATGTTTCGCCAAAGGCCGTGCTGGCAGAACTCCATGAGCATACTGAAAGAAACTATGGTTTGCTTAGGACCGCGCAAGATCGCGAGCGCACGTTTTTTGTGAAAACTGGTGTTGCGAAACCATGTGTTTGTGTAAGCTGTTTTCGACACGCGGTTTGGACATCGCTACAACATCGCAGGTTGTTTGGCGGATTCTGGCTTGCGCGCGCGACGACGCGCGCGCGTGCGTTTCGTCCCGCTTTGTTCAAAAATTCTCGCGACGGCACGCGCGCCAGGGCGTTCAAACGATTTCGACATGCGCACGTGCGAAGCCCGTGTGAACATGTAGAAAATAAAACGCTGGTTTTTCTTGACAAAATCGCAAACACGCGCGAGCACGTGTTATTTATAATATAAAATCAGTGTTGCGGAACCTTGTATTTCTACATGCGTCTTGGACGCTCGATGTTGGAACCCTTCCGGAACCCAGTGTTTTTTCGAAGAATTCTGGCATGCGCGCGCGAAAACGCGCGCGCGCGGATTTCTTGACATCTGTTGCAAGGGACTCTTGAAAAATTGTGACGTTTGATGAACGAGCGCGCGCGCACGGTATTTGTTGCAGAGGATGACGGGGGGGGCGATGCCAGCATGTAAAGTGCAATGCGCAAAGGGGGGGCGATAATTCCGAAAAGGGGGTAGACTTTACCCTTTCTTAAACAAATTGAATCTCGGCGTGGGGCAATAAAGTTGGTGCA